CAGTGGTACACTTTCTGTACCATTGTGATCCCAGCCCCTTCCCTTACTCCAAGGACACCCTGTGAGACGTTGGACTTGCATGTGCACAGTCACCTGTTCAGGGAAGAGTTTCAGAATCATCTGTCTAATCAATTCTACCTTCATTTTATAAGGAAGTAACTAAAGCCAACTCCAGCCCAGGGTTTTCTGATTCATTGTGGGTCACAGGTCGCCACCCCCAATGTTTACTTCCCCTGGGCCCTGGGTTAGTGCCTGGTGCTCACAGGGATGAGCCCAGAGCATCCCCTCCTCCCCTGCGGGCTAAGCCTTCTGTAGAAGCAGCTGCCCCTCCCCCCTGCACCCCCCCCCCACCCCCCCCCCCCCCCCGCCCGCAGCCTTCTCTGCATCTCTGTCTCTGTGTCCGTGGACTCTCAATGGCAGGCTGATTATTCAGCCCTCTTGAGCTGTTTCTAAAGAATCATCTGCATGCACATAATAACAGCAATCTGCATAATTAAGGAGCCTCATAAAGAGTATTCAATTGTCTACCGGAAAATGGAATTTAAGTTGCAAGAGAATAGGTCAGGTCTGAAAGGTGACTCAGAATTGGAAAGTGTTCCAGGCAGCCAAGCGGAGCCTTCAAAGAAGCCCTAAGAGGACACAGTGGCTTAGCCACGTGCACTGCAGAGCTAGTGGGCGATGACAGGCAAGTCTGAGCTCTAGCTTTTTCCATGAGTCCATCCCGGGAGCCAAAGGTGAGAGGAAGGCGGCCAAGAGGGTTTGGGGGAGGCAGCCAGCAACCAAGGTCCCGTTCTATGCTCTGGCGTGCGTTGGCTGCTCCCTGCTTTTAACTCTGTTTATGCTGATGAGAAACAAACACTTTTGATGAAACCTTCCATTTTGGCACTGGTTTGAAATAGATGCATTTTCACTGAGTCCAAACTGCCTCTTCTGTTCATATTCTAAGGAGGCTGAAGCTCAAACTTGCATGTCAAGTGCACTGTCTGCACTGTAGCACAGTCCTCCCATTGTTCATCAATTTGCTCGAGCAGGTACCAGTAACGTCTCCATTGTGAGGACTTGTTGCTACTGTTTTTGGCATATCCGCTACACCATGGGGAGCTTGCCAGGCTGTGCCGTGCAGGTGGGATACTCTCGGTAGCTTGCTGGGCTCTCCGAGAGGGGCGGAAGAATCGAACCTGGGTTGGCCGCACGCAATGCAAACGCCCTACCAGCTGTGCTATTACTCCAGCGCAGTCCTGATAATTCCCTTTGCCAAGGCTAGGCAGGACGTAGAAGTAGGTGTGAAGGGGCAAGCACTCAGCTCTGGCAGCTGGTTCACCCACTTTCTGTGCCTTTATGATCCCAGCCCCTTCCCTTACTCCAAGGATGCTCTGAGATGTTGGACTTTCATGTGCACAGTCACCTGGCTAGGGAAGCGTCTGAGAATCATCTGTCTAATCAATCTTAATGTCATTTTAAGAGGAAGTAACTAAGGCCAACTCCAGCCCAGTTCCTCAAGAGCTGTACCAGTGTTCCTTGTTTAACACTGGGGTGGTGGGGGGCATTGGCAATTTAAAGTGGAAAAGACTACAGCTAGTAAACAATTTAAAAATCACTGAACTTGAAAACTGCCCTAGTTCATTCTCTGTTCGTCTGCCTAGAAGCAGGGAAATCAGTCTAATTTACTCCCAGTTGATGGAGTCACTGTGAAAGTGTGATTTAGGGGTTCCTAGGGAAATCTAGGTCATGAGACCCATCTTTTGTTTTCACATAATGCTGACTCTTGTCTTTCTGAACCCCCAGCTACAACAAAGGGACAGTTGCCCAATTATCTCAACATATCAACATAACAGAAAACCTAAAAAATAATAATAATAAAAAAATCCTGCCAAAGAGATAGTACAGTGGGTAAGGTGCTTGCTTTGGGCCAACCTGGGTTTGATCCCCAGCAGCCTATCTGGTTCCCTGAATCCCACCAGTAGTGATCCCTGAGCAGAGTCAGGAGTAAGCCCTGAGCACTGCTGGATGTGCAACCCAATCTCCCCACCCCCAAAAGTATTTTGTTCCCTATTCTCAATCTCTTGGAGGGAAAAAAAGATTTATGTGAACCATTTCGTTTATGACTCTTCCAGCTATGATGTTTGTTTGGACAAAATGGCAACCAGGACCAAATGGCAACCAGCTGATGAGATGGCAACATTCCCAGAATCAGGAATTACCCTGTCCCCAGCGAGGAAGACAGGACTTATGGCCCACCTGGAGCCAGGAAGCCACCATACTGTATTCCATGCCTCCTCACCATTGCCCCCCTCCCCCAGATAACGGGAGCCAGACCAAGCACACTAATTCCTCTAGTCATGGTTCCCTTTTCCCACCCAAGACAACTTAAAAATCTCACTTAGTCTTTCCTAGGGTGGGGCTCTACTTCAGCCTCGACCACGGTTCGTAGAGTCCAGCCGGAAGGACCCCCCCAAGTAAACTTCTCCTATTTCCTTCATTTACTTATCTGTGTCTGTGCCTGCTGAGGGCATGGACCTATCACCAACTACTCTCTCTGCTTCTCAGGACATATGGAGATAGACTTTCTCAACAAAAAAGCTGTAGTAGTCTTTTGTGGCCACGCTTGCACCTTGCTTTGACCACCTCATGGCTTGCCCAGCTATCAGTTTTTCCATATTAGTTTGTCGAGACTGATCCCCTCATTTTTCATCCTTCATCCTTCACCGAATACCTTCCCCTGAGCGTTCAGTTTGAGTGCAGGAGAGTTGCGTGACTGTCACTATTGGAAATTCTTATTTTCATTCAGATTCTTATTATCAGAAGAATTTTTTTTAATTTTTGCCACACCTGGCAGTTTTTAAGGCTTATTTCTGCCTCTGAGCTCAGGTATCACTCCTGGCTGGGCTCTGGGACCAGCTGAGGTACCAGGGATCAAACCCAGGTCTCCCACATACAAGGCGAGCACCCTTCCTTCCCACTGTGCTCTTTCTCTGTCCCAGGGAAATGTTTTTTCTCCATTTCTTTTATTTCTTCTGTATTTTTGCTGAGTGTTTGCAGAGGTGCTGCAATACTAGGCTGATGCGCAAGGTAGCTGGGACAATTCCTTGTAGCAAGTTCAATTCCTTGCTCCAAAAATCCATTTCCGGAACCAGGGAGACAATACAGTGGTAAAGCATTTGCTTTGCACCTGGCCTACTCTGCTTCAGTCTCTCGTTACTACATAAGACAACCCCAGGGTACCACCAGGAGTAATAGTCTGAACACAGAACCAGGAATAAGCCCTGAACATTGCTAAATGTGGCCCATTTATTGTCCTGGGAGAGAGGATGGACCTGGATGTTAAGCTGATATGTGTGAGGCCCTGTATTTAATCTACTGTACTGCATGCCTCCCCCAAACACTGCTGGAAGTGGCCCCCATCACAGTGGGGGGGGGGGGGGGCGGGGAGAAAACTCTATTAGCCAAAAAGCTGAGCAGCATTTCTGACTTTCTTATGGCCACTTCTTTTCATTCTGTGTATTTCACCGACGTACAATGGTCGCTAGCCCATTTGTTAAAGGACTATTCCGGAGTGAAGATTAACACAATTTCCTGGTAAATGTCTAAATTGACCCTTAGCAGATAAATGCAGCCCATAGGTCACGAGATGAAAGCTCCTTTTTCATCTTTTTTTTGGTGGTTGTTATGAGAGTAGGGGGTTGGCGGGAGGGGGGGGGGGGGCGGGGGCACCTCAGACCACTGGCAAGGAGGCTAGAGAAAAGCTCATTTTCCTGATTGATGCTCCTGTTGTTTCCAAGTCCTCTTTCTGTGGGGATCCCCCAGGCAACAAATGAAGTATTGTGCAGTCTTTCCTGGCCCTGTCAATGGGCAATTAGACATTTTTTTTAAAGACAATACATTTTTGTCCATAGTGTAGTTGATTACATTCATTTATAAAAATGATGGGGAACTGTAGATGTGATTTTTTTCCTATTTGGTGTCATTAAAGATCATCATCTGGAGGCCATAATGGAAAGTGTTAGCACACCTGGAGCGGGGGCAGGGTTGGGTTTGAGCACCCCCTCCCCAAGGAGGCTGTGTGGCCTTGAGCAAATGACCTCATCCAGCTGCTCTGAGCTTCCCTGCTAAAAGTCAGAGAAAGACTGAGCACCCCACTTGGGGAATACTGAGCACCCCACTTGCATTCAGAGACCTGGTGGGGTGGGAAGGGAAGGGGTACTTCAGAGGGAGGAGTGCCTGGGTTGTTCCAAGGCATGACCAAGTGTCTAGGTCATTACTAGACAGGGGATCAATGTGTCTGCTTCATTACTTGTCCTCAAATGGTTTGTGCACTTCTTAAAATGCCTGTTATGTGAAATATATTTCACAATAAAATTGGGGAGGGGCACACCCGGTGATGTTCAGGTGTTACTCCCAGGTCCATACTCAGGAATCACTCCTGGCAATATTCAGGGGACCACATGGGATGCCAGGGCTCTCAGCTGTGTGCAAGGCAATCAATAGCCCTATGCACTATACTATTGCTCTGACCACTTATATTTTACAACAAAATTTTAAATAAGCACCTATTAGTGAATAGACAGCATTAGCAACTCTCGTACAATGCTCATCGGAAAAATAATAGAGGGGAAAAAATAATGTAAGGACCAGAGAAATAGCAGAGCAGGCAGGGGGTTTGCCTTTATGTGACTGAACCTTAGTTCAATCCCCACACAGGGTCCCCTGTGTCCCACCAAGAGTAATCCCAGAGTGCAAAGTCAGGGGTAAGCCCTGAGCACCACCAGGTGTGACCCCCAAACCAACAGGAGATTCTGTTGAATAACTGTTCTCAAAGACCTTTAGCTATTTGAAGGGTTTCCTTGACATTTTAGGTCGACGTTAACTCGAACTTCTGCATTTGTTATTAAAGTCCCCAAGTGAATTTTTTTAAATCACCGCTCCCCATGTCTGATTGGGGTGAGTTCAGGGCCACTGTCAGTGTGGGACTGTCCATGACTAACAGCGCTCTCTCCCCGCAGGTCCGGGTGATGGTGGATCTGTGTAACAGCACCAAGGGCATCTGCCTGACAGGTAAGCCCTGCCTCCGGCACCCACAGGGTGGAAACCAGGTTACCCTGGGGCTAGCAGCAGAATGAACAGCACCCCAAAGTCTTTCTGTTATAAAAACATGTTGATTTATTTTTACCAGATGTTGTTAATGGGCTGAAAATTAATTATAATGTTATTATGAGAAAATAATATTTTTGATATTGCTATAGAAACAGAGCTTTGGAAAATAACTGAGTCTTGGGTAATTAGAAACGCGTGCTACCTTGAAGTGGGGCCATAGATGCGAACTCCTTATTTTCATTAAGTTTTGAAGGAGGGAAGAAGCAGGGAAAGATTGATGCGTGGTGGTAGGTTTCCCTTCTGAGAGGAGGGCGTTGGGCATCTGGAGGGACGGGTGGCCTTGGAACAGGGTGAGTTTGCACATTGTGCATCACTTTGGCTGGTGTCCTTCAATATAGTCCAATGGTGTAAGTGTATTCCCCTCCTTATGATTTTCTTCATGCTCTTTCTATTTGTATCATAAGAATGCTGTCTGTAATACATGCGTTGTTTGCATGCTCACGGAGGCCTCTGGTGCACAGCAACAATGCATACTTAGTAGTTACCTTTCTGAAATAATCAAAGTTAGATGCAGATAGATGTTTGACCATACAGGTTTTTAAGGACCAGCTATAACTGTTCCCCTACCTGGCACCGGGCATGAGTGGAAAACTCTAGCTGCTTCCTTGGAAACCCATTCTGTGTGCCAGGAGAGAAGGGAAGCTGGATACCTGCCATCTCTCGGTGAAACTAGGACAGATGGACAGGGAGGAAGGACCTCCCGTTATGACTAAGAGGGGCAGCCAGCCTTGAGACAGGAAGTGGAACGGACACAGAAAGAAGGTCAGGCCTGGATCAGAGAGAAGAGCCCTAAAGAGATTGGCCCCAACTCCTGCCTTCAGAAGTTGGCAGTTCCTAGAAAGGGCAGTTCCTAGAGATATTGCCCCCTTCCCTGTGCACTGTGCCCGCCCAGACTCTTTTTTGCTGTTCTTGGTGATGTTCGGGGATCGTAGGGGGTGCTGGGGAATCGAACCCGGGTCAGCCACATGCAAGGCAACTGGTGTCCCTGTTGTGCTGTGGCTCCATCCCCACCCATGGCATGTCTGGCCTCACCAAGGGCCTGCAGAGGCTGACTTCACAACGCTGCATGCCCAGCCCTTTAGAGGAAGCCTTGAGCTCCAAGGAAACAGAGAAATTGCATTTGTGTACAAATGCTCTTATGGGGTGAACAAACACACAGTCCTTGTGGAGTTTAGAAACAACCCCGAGTCTTTTTTAAACATCTGATGCTTGGTCAAGCCTCCTCAGACCGGAGCCCAGGCTCTGAGGCAAGGCCTGTCTACACCTCCGGAGTGCGAGCTCTGAGGAGAAGCCTGGTGTGTGGGGGGGGTGCCAGAACCCCTCACAGAGTCCCCCATGAGTGTGGCACATGTCAAACCATGGGGTGTTGGGATGGGGGGTGAGACCCTTCCTAGAGGCGCCCCAAGTCCTAATCTGATTCTCATTTCGGCCCTTTTGGCCACAGAGAAGAAGCACAAATCCTTTGACTTCTTGGGAAATGCTGATTGAATTTTTCAAGTCACACTTCACCCTCACAGAAAATTAAACATCTCCAGCCTGGTCCTTTATTCTCTGTCTCCCGTGGCTGAGCACCTTCCTGCCAGCTCTGGAAGCACCCCCCCACCCCCCGCCTTGCAAAGCCCCACATGTGGCAGTAATGAGAGCTGGAGAAATGCGCAGATGGATGGAATTATAGGCACAAAAGCCTTGTGAAAGCCCAGGGAAAGCCTATTCCTCTTTTTTTCTTTAACTTTTATAGTGACACAAGTAGAGCCGGTGGCCCCGAGAATGTGAGGGAGGGAGCTATTGAGACCACTTAGGGGAGATTGCCAGGGAACCATGGTCACCGTGACCGCACGGGAAACCAGATGAGGAGGTTATTTATTGGCACCTCAGAATGCTTTTCAAAAGCCAGCACCTTCCTCCTTTCATGCCTGCTTGAAATTGCACCTCCTTTTACACAGAAGGCTCTTCAGTCAAAACTTTGTGGAATGGGGGGAATGGGGAGTGGGAGGGATACTGGGACCTGTGGTGGTGGAAAATGGGCACTGGTGGAGGGATGGGTATTTGGTCATTTTATAATTGAAATCCAAGCACAAAAATGTGTAAGTCTGCAACTGTACTTCATGGTGTTTCACTCATAAAAATTTTTTTAAAAGAAGGGAAAATGACCAAAAGAAAAAAAAAATAAACAGAAGGTACCTAGCCAAAAAAAAAAAAACAAAACAAAACCTTGGTGTGAAAAGTACGATTTGCAGGTGGTTCCTTGGGAAAGACCAAACTGCAGGGGTGGGGGTAGGGGGGCGAGAGGAGCCAGGACAGACTAGGGTAGCATCTAGGACAGGGCAGAGAGCAGCGGCCCCTCGCCTCCTGCCAGGGCTCCGCTCTGCCTTTGTTCTGAAGTCCTCTTTGAAGGATCAGTCCCAGGAGGCTGGCCCAGCTGTGACCCGGAAACACCATGACTGCTCCTTTCCCTGGAGTTGGCTCTCGTTACCAAGGGGACATGGACAGATGCTGGGTTGTCCTGTGCCGCCTGGGTGATGCTGACCCTGTCTCAGAGCCCAGATTTCCTCGGGACCCTGAAAAGAGGCCTGCTGAAAGAGCGGCTATTTGGGGCCAGAGCGATAGCACAGTGGCTACCTAGGGTACTTGCCTTGCATGCGGCCAGCCTGAGTCTGAATCCCGGCACCCCATTTGGCTCCCTGAGCACAGAGCCAAAAGTAAGCCCTGAGGGTGACTGGGTGTGGTCTAAAAAATCAAAACCAGAGTGGGTGCCTTAGGAAAGGCAGCGTCCTGGGTTATACTCCACTCCCAGTCGCCTGCTCGTCGGGACATACAGGAGATCTCTGACCTGCCCTATGGCTGTGGTCCTGTTCCAGAGCCCGTGCTCCCATCCCAATATCCATGTTCCCATCCCAGCACCTGTGCTCCCATCCTAATAACCATCCTCCTATTCCGGCATCTGTGCTCCCGTTCCCATCCCAGTATCTGTGTTCTCATCCAGCACCTGCTTCCATCCCAGCATCTGTGCTCCTATCCTGGCACCTGTGCTCCGGTCCCAGCATCTGCGCTCCTGGCCCATTAATCATGCTCCTGTTCCAGTGTCTGTGCTCGCACCCCAGCACCTGTGCTCCTGCACCAGAACCTGTGCTCCCTTCCTACCACCTGTGCTCCAGTTGCATCCATACCCGCAGCCCCCCAGGCACCCCGCAGCAGTGTGGTTTTTCAGCCAGAGGACCCCCCCCCCCCCGCGGGACCTGGGGCAGCCCTAGCATGGAACAGACTGCAAGCCCAGGCTTTTGCCCTAAAGTTACCTGGTGGCACCTTTTCTGCAGTTATTGAGTGCGATGGTCAAGTCTGGGACCCACAAGGGCTCCTGGCATGCTTTAGCATGGCAGTGGCATCTGCCATTGGCCGTTCTTCTCAGACGGTAGGGGCTGGAGCTTGTCCAGGTTGTAAGGAGCCCTCACCCGACTTCAAGAGGTCCCAGGTGAGGCTGGAGCGATAGCACAGTGGGTAGGGCATTTGCCTTGCATGTGGCCGACCCGGGTTCGATTCCCAGCATCCCATATGGTCCCTCGAGCACCGGGAGGAATAATTCCTGAGTGTAGAGCCAGGAGTAACCCCTGTGCATCGCTGAGTGTGACCCAAAGAGCAAAAATAAGTAAATAAAATAAAATAAAGAGGCCCCAGGCATGCTTTAGCTCTAACTCTGCTTCTGAGTTTTGGACACAAAATTCTATCATCCCCTTGGACACAAAATTATTTTCTGGAGGAGCTTCAGGACACAGTCCCACAGATCCCCTCCACGGCTGTGGGTCTCCCTGTTCCTTTTCTGCTGTCTCATCTATCCCCTGCCCACTCCAGATGTGGCGGTGACCCCACTTCCTCTCCACATCCTAAAATTTGGCCCATTTTTCTCTTGCCTTAAGCCTATTAACTCTTATCCTGTTAGGGACCCTCTAGGGGTAACTGATCCTCTTCCCAGAAAATAATCTTGTGGTATGTATATGGGATAGAGGTGTGGGACTATTCCCGGGACCCTGGCATTCCATAAACCTGCGGTGGGTGGTTTCTAAGGTTTCCAAGTCTCTAAGTTCAACTGAACTTCAGGTTCCTTGCATTTGACCAGCATTCCAGATGATTTTGTGGACTCACATGGCTCTGAACTGTAGCCACTGAGTGTCAACAGACTCTCTCAGGAAACCCTAAGGTAAGCATTTCACTCCTGGCCACAGCTAAGATGTCCTAAATAATCACTACTGCCAGGATTTGGAAATGGTTATTGGATAGTCCTGGGATTTTTTTTTTTTTGGTGAGGGGGGATGAGGAAGGGTGAACCTGGAGGTCCTCAGGGGACACTCCCAGTTCTGTATTCCCTGCGGTGCTTGGGAGACCCATGCAGTGTGCGCACTCAGCCAGGGTCAGTCACATGCAAGGCAGATGTCTTAATCCCTGTACTTTCTCTCGGGTTTCTGTCCTGGGAATTTTTGAAACGACAGTTTGGTTGATTCTTACTAATTCACCTTTTTGGGTGTTGAATCCACATGTCTGAGTTTGGTTTCGTCTGTGTCAGGAATAATTGATTTTTTTCAGGCTTGTGTCAGCTGTCCACATCACCTTCTTCAGAGAGAGAGAGAAAGAAAGAGAGAGAGAGAGAGAGAGAGAGAGAGTGCACGTGTGCATGCGTGCCCGTTGTATGTGTATGTTGGGCCTGTCTGCAGGTGCACATGTGCGCACACACACCATCTGGTGGTAAAGTCATGTATCCACAGGCGACACAGATCCTAGGAAATGTGGTGCCGCGTCCAGGAAATTCTTTTTGTGCTCTGGGGGGCCTCTGTATTAAGAGCAGACCAGCAAACATGGACTCTGAGATGCCCCATCCCTGTAAACTCGCTTCTCAGCAGTAACGCACCCTCTCCAAGGAGCCTGCTTTTTGTCACCCGCCCCTTAGTTCTCAGAGGCTATTCTGGTCTCTGTGTTCAGGCGTGACCCCTGGCACTGCTCGGGGGACCCTAGATGGTACCAGAGATCCATCTGGGGGCTGGACTCACACAAGGCAAGCACCTTCATCCCTGTGCCATCTTTTCAGGGAGGGGATTTCTGACCCATGGTGATTTATAGCCTTATTTCCCCACTTAACACCCTTTGACAAATTAAACCACATTCCAGTGTCAGCATGTTAAAAGTCCATGCCCCAGGCAAGCAATAGCACAGCAAGTGGGATGTTTGCTTGGATTTGATCCCTGACATCCCAGATGGTCCCCTGAGGCTAGGAGTGGTTCCTGAGCACTGAGCCAGGAGCAGTCCCCTGAGCATAACAAAACAGGTGTGACCCAAAACCAAACAAGAGAGGTGATCCCACTGAAGCGATGGCACAGCAGGCAGGGCACTTGCCTTACCTATAGCTGACCCTGGTTCGACTCCCAGACTTTTTTTTTTTTTGCTTTTTGGGTCACACCCGGCGATGCACAGGGGTTACTCCTGGCTCTGAACTCAGGAGTTACTCCTGGTGGTGCTCAGGGGACCATATGGGATGCTGGGAATCAAACCCAGGTTGGCCGCGTGTAAGGCAAATGCCCTACCCACTGTGCTATCTCTCCAGCCCCTGACCCCCAGACTTCTACGTGGACTCTTGAGCATTGCCAGAAGTAATTCCTGAGTGCAAAGCCAGGGGCAACCCTGAGCACCACCAGATGTGGCCCCAAACCCCAAAACATAAACAAAAAAGGTCAACCCCCGATTCCCTGCAACCTCACAGGAATCATCCACAGCTCTGGGTGTAGCTTTCAGGGACACCCCTCCCCACCACCACCACCACACATACACCCATGGCTCCCCGCTGCACCCATCAGCCTGCTTGCTCTTTTTTTCTCTCTCGGTCTGAATCCTGCATATTCCCCTCTGTAGCTTTGCCCCTTGAAGGGATGATGCCCAGCCCTCAGCCCCAGCATCTCCAGTTTCGGGCGCGGGGGGTAGGGGGAGGGGCAGGCATTGTTAGTTCCCCACCATCTCCCCCACCCCACACCCCAGATCCCAGGGAGCCCTGCTGTACCTATTTGAGGGATAACTACTCTCTAGTCCTCTCCCAGACCTGCCCCGTGGCCAGAAAGTCCCGACTCTTGGTATTCTTGAGTGCTCACACTGGGTGGTTAAGTCAGTGATGGTTTTCTGAGTGTTCGGGGTCTTGGGTTCAGGGGAAATTTTTTCCACTCCAGCTTGGGTAGCCAGCATCTGAGGGGAGCAGCCACCAGGGGTCTTCTCCAGGACTCCTCATCAGCTGATCCGTGCACGCAAGTACCATCAGCAGTGAGACTCTTGTTAGGGGCAGCAAAACATTAGGCTGGTAGCTTAAGCGTGGACGCTCATCGGAACGCATCCATGGCTTGGGTCATTAGGCACTAAGGAAGGTGTTGGTTACCCGATCTGGGCCTGCGATCTTTCCCAGGCTGCCGGATGAGAGGAAGCAGAGACCCAGCCAACAGCTTCTTCTGTCAAGTCCCCCAGGTCCAGCTGACAGACTGGGGTTCAGGAAGCCCGCCTCAGCCGTGCAGGGCCAAATGAGAGCCAAACCTCATTTAAGGACATTGACTTCAAGATGTCTGATCTCTGAACTTCAGAAATTATCTTTGTCCCATAGACATACTCATGATTAGCAGATCTCCTATGTCAGGAACTTTTGGGCTAACATGTTAAGTTCTAAGTAGGAAGCAGGGGGCAGCCCCGTGGGACCAGTGGGTGGTTGGTATACTTTTTGTTGGTTGGTTTGGTTTCGGGAGCTTTGGAGCCACACCCAGCAGTGCTCAGAGGCTCTGCCTGGCTGTGTGCTCAGGGATTGCTCTTAGTAGTGCTCAGGGGACAATCTGTGATGCCAGGGATCAGTCACCCACAAGTCAAGCACCTTAAACCCTGGCACCATCTCTCTAGCCCTGGATTGGTACATTTAAATATATTTTAATAGGCTAATATGGGTTAATTAAGCTACATGTCAGCGTGAGCCACCAATGGTCTGTGCACGGGTAAGGGCTTGTGAAGGTGCCTTTGTTTTGGTGGGTGTTGGCTTTGCCTTCTTCCAACCATGACTTACCATGTCTATTTCTCTTTTTTCCCCTCGTAGGCCCACCCGGCCCACCAGGTAAGAGGAGCTGTGACTTTCCTTGGGGAAGGTGTGGGAGGGGGCATCAGCCTCAGGAAGCGGGTCTCAGCACCACCCCTCTATGCTTCGATGCAGGTCCTCCCGGAGTTGCCGGCTTTCCAGGTCACAACGGTTCAGACGGGCTCCCCGGGCCCCAGGGCTTGAAAGGCGAAAAAGGATCCAGTGGAAAAAGAGGGAAGATGGGTAGGTTGGCAGCTGTTCTCTGTCCCTTGTTGCTTGTCTTCATTGTTTGGTTTTAAACAGGACCAGATGCCAGCGTTGCATCTTGCCAGGGCCGTCTGTCCTTACTGTTTTTATTTATTTTTTGGGTGGGGAGTGAGGGGTGTCACTCCTGGCAGTGTTCAGTGCTTACTCCTGGCTCTGCACTCAGGAATTACTCCTGGCGGTGCATGGGGATGTCAGGAATCGAACCCGCCATCTGCGATGCTGTACGAAGGCGCATTCTTTCTGGAAGCTGCTGTGTGTGTGTCCCGCAATACTGAGGCATTGAATCCAGCTCTTGTTTGTGATGGTTGTAGGCAGGGACCCTCCCTGGGCCAGGAGGCAATGCCCTCCCCATACACCAAGCTCTTTCCACAGTCAGTGCCTGCCTCCACCCACCCAGAAAACTCTCTGACTTGAGATCAGTTTGTTCCCTGTATCCTGGGTTAGTCCAACACAGAAATGTACCCCAGAGGGTGGCATGTGGGTACCAGGTCCCCGCCAGCAGGGCCTCCTCTCCGAGAGTCAAAGAAAATCTCAAAGACATGGCTGGTGTCCCCCTGGCACTCACCTGTCCTGCCATGAGCAGCAGCCTACTATTACCCCCTCCCCACCCAAAGGCCCTCAGCGTGGGGGTGTCGTCTGTGTCCAGGAGCAGTATGAAGTTAGGGCAGGTGTGGGGTGTGCTGAAGACTGGGGGACTCCAGGAGTAGGGTGCTCTGAAGGCCTCCCCGAGAAGCATCAGCACGGGCCTGGAGCACATCCGTGACAGCTCACGGTGGGCTTCTGGAAGGCTCTCTTCTTCTGGGGACGTTGGCGGGGGGCGGGGGGAGTTTGAGCATGTGCCTGCACGTGGGAAGCAGATGTGGTGGTCTCTGAGGGGAGAGGAGTTCCGGAGAGCACCCCTTCCAGTTCCCGCAGCCTGAGGGCAGCTGTCAGGTTGGAGACCAGAGGTGGACAGGAGAAGGCAGGCTGGAAGATGCTCATTGTGCAGATGAGAACCAAGTGTCCAGTGGACAGGGCGCTGGGCAGCAGTGATATAGGAGGCTGGGTAGAGGGGCGCGGGGGGTGGGGGCAGGAGACTGCAGCAGCCAGGCCAACTGGGGCTGATTCTGCTGACCCACGGAGAGTCCGTGGGGGCAGGGATGGACGTGATTTGTCCAAGGTCCAGATGCAGGTCCGTGGAGAGGGCAGAACTTAGAGTCAGGGCTCAGGGACTGGAGTGATTGCACAGCGGGTAGGGCATTTGCCTTGCACACGGCTGACCCGGGTTCGATTCCCGGCATCTCATATGGTCCCCTGAGCACTGCCAGGAATAATTCCTGAGTGCATGAGCCAGAAGTAACCCCTGAGCATCCCCAGGTGTGACCCTTCCCCCCAGAAAAAGATAATTCAGGGCTCATCCTCTGATGTCTGATCCCTGAAGCCAGGATGCGTCCAGGTGGCAGGTCTGGGGAGGGCGGAGGGGCCAGGGGCTGGGGGCTGGGGGCCGTCAGGCTGCTCCAGGTCACGGGACCTTTACGCAGCCAACCTGGCCTGCAAGATCTGTGCCAGGACCATCCAGAGAGGGGACCTGCCACAGGTCTGCCTTGGCTCCCTGCTATGAGCAGAAGGTGATGCAGGGGAGGAAGAGGTAGTGGCTGTGCCCACTCGGGTCTCTGTGTCCACTTGTGACTCCCAGGTTCTTCAATAGTTTCAAGAGTGAAAGTACTAACTGATAAAAATGCTCAGACTCAGAGTGAGAAAGTAGAAAAGTTTATTGAAAAGTAGAAGAGAGAAGAAAAGAAGTTCCCCAAGCGGAAGGGTAACTTAGTATAGGACCAAGTTAAGGTAAGGGAATTTTGTGTAGGCCCTTTTAAGGGCTCCTGGCAACCCTTATCAGTTGGCAGATGTTTACAAAAGATGCCAGAAAATGACAATGATATCGAACTGGTCTAAACTCTCCAGAACCAGTTGCCCATTATTTTAGTTTCCTGTCAGTCTAGGGCCTGGGGCAGAGTTCTATGTTCCTGGAAAGCCCCAGGAATGCTGAGACAGAACCTTGGGGTGTAATGTGTGTCAGGTTAATAGAAGAGAGTTGCAACATCTTAGAGAGAGAAAACTGTGGCTTTCTCTCTCCCTGGCAAGGGAAAACTGAGGCTTTCTCTTTCAAGGGGAGCAAAGGAATGCGTTTTGGGCATGTTTCGGGCATGTGGCCTATTTTGGAGGGACCCTGTAGCCCAGGGAGAGTCACCCTACCATTGCCAATATTGGGGTCTAACGACTCATACATGCTTTCCCATTTATCTAAGTTTTGCTTTAGGGGCCACAACTGACAGTGCATTGGGGAGCAATGATCAGGAGACCACCATGGTGCCAGGAACCAAGCCTGTGCCAGAGGGTCCCACCACCGAACCGCGCACCCTGCACTGTGTGCTGTCTCCTCAGCATTTTCCAGCGTCCAAGTGGCGTGGCCCAGTGTTGGCCGGCAAGGAAGACACTTGTCTTACACCGTCTGTGATATGGCCCATACCGCCTGTGATATGACTGTGTCCTCCATCATCCCCCAACTGAGGCTCATGAAATAAGTGATGCATCAGTGAAAGAATGAATGGCAGGACCTGGTTTCCATCCAGGTGATAGTGGAAGGAGAAGATGGGTCTCAGCAACAGGGTGCACCCTGGGGTGAGAAGCTGATCCTGGGATCAGCTCACAGGAGCAGATCCTGAACCTTTAGGGGCCAGCCTGGAGGGGAATTAAGAGGTGTCAGAGATGCTTAGAAATCGGCCAGGAGGAGGCAGTGGAGCTTTGGGAAGAGAAATCTGATGGAGTTTAAAGCCACCCTAGGGAAGAGAATGAACTGGCGATGCTCCCTGCAGTCCTGGTCCCTAGGAAGGCTGGACCTGAGGCAATGGCTTTGAGTTCTGGCTTCTGGCTTCTATGTGCCCCCCCCCTCCGCCCAGCTGCGTGCCCTTAATCACCATGTAAGTTACTTAATCACCAGGGGTTCCCTCCTCTAAGCAATAAGACAACCCCAGATTTAGGAAATGAGTTTATAGATGTTTACTTAGAATACAGCCCGTGGGAAGGCGGTCTATTCCTGGGGATTATTATAGTTGTTGCTGTTTTCAAAAGTAGACAAGGAAAGACTTTTTGTTTTAGACCAGAAGAGAATTTTAGGTGGAAATGCCTGTGTTTGTTGTTTTTGTTGTTGTTGTTGGAAAGCCCCAAGTTATATTTAGAGAAAAATGAACCACAATGGGAAGCCAAATGTCTAAAACTTACCTACAGAACCGAATACTATGTTGTTTCAAAACCAGGTATGTTCTTTGCACCCCCACCTCCTACCCCCTCTCCCATCTCCTCCCCCAGAGCTTAACTGCCATCCTTCTGATCCTACCCAGTCTTGGGATGCTGGCCGGCCCCTGACAGCCCCAGGGATGGCCCAAGACAGATAGTCCTGCCAACAATATACTGTACTCCCTTGGCCCCCTGACACAAAGGTGGAACAGTGAACCCCGGCAGCATCTCACCACCCCAAACTCTAAAGCTGGTAGAATGATTGGATTTGAGTGGATCCTGCTGGGCAAGGGGTATTTCGGAGAGCCACTTCTAGCCGTGGAATAGAGGAGCAGAATTTGGCTTGTCTTCTGGGCAGAATATGCTGACTTTTTTTTCTTTTTGCATCACAACCGGCGATGCACAGGGGTTTACTCCTGGCTCTGCATTCAGGAATTACTCCTGGCAGTGCTCAGGGGACCATATGGAATGCTGGGAATCAAACCCAGGTTGGCTTCATGCAAGGCAAACACCCTACCCACTGTGCTATCACTCCAGCCCCCCAGAATATGCTGACTCCTGTCCCAGGAGTCATGGGACAAACAAGGCCCTCACCAAATCCAGGGGTCATGGAACATCACCCAGCAGGCAAGGTGGAAAAAACCATACCATCTCGTCACCTGTTGGTGGCCAGGGGCATTGCCTCAACAAACAGGGAACACTGTGATGGATAACGGTCACTGCATGTGTATACAACATCCCCATTTCCTCTTTTCTTTCATCTTTTTTTCTCTCTATTCATTTTTCTTTGTTTTGAGGGTCACACCTGGCCGGGTTCAGAGCTTATAACTGGCTTTGAGCATAGGTATCATTCTTGGGAGGGCTCAGGAATCATGTATGGTGGCAGGGATAGAATCGAGGTCTACTACATGCAAGGAAAGTGTCTTACCAGCCCCCCCCCCCCCCAGTGCTTTGTTTTGTTTTCTTAAGAATCACAAACACCCAGCAATGAATCAAAACACATGCCACAGAGGTGCTACATGGTTAGGGAACTTTCCTCATTCACAGCCCACTGGGATTCGATCCCCAGAACCCCATATGGTCCCCTGAGCTTCCAGGAGCGATTCCTGAGCACAGAGCCAGGAGTAATCTCTGAGCACCGCTGGCCCAAAACCAAACCTCAAACAATAGCACATCCTTAGACCTTGGATAGTATCCGTTTGGACACTCAGCCTGGGTGTCGGGGGTGAGGGCGGGGGCTCCCTTGAGCAGCTGCAGTGAAACCTGAGCTCTTTCCTGCTTCTGGAGGAAGAAAAGGCCAAGGAGGAAGGAATGAAAGGCAAGAAGGAGACTCAGCTGACAGTGCAGAAAGGTTCTTTGTAAGCAGGAGCAATGGCTGAGAAAGAAAACCCAGGGGTCACGGGAAGATCCATTTCCCTGAGCTTTGCTAAATCTGGGCATGTGAAACCTTTCGCGGGTATCAGTTATCCTCCCTGCATTGTGCCCGCCCGACTCTGTGGCAGCGTTCTCACCTTTTGTGTCCTTCAGAGAATGCACCAACTTGCTTATTTTAATGGCGGCTCCCACAGAGGGCGCTGACACAGGGCTGGTCTAAGGTGATGGAGCCACGTTCCAGCAAGATGAGCTGGAGAGCATGGGCAGGACGAAGCCTTGGCCATCAGCACCATTGAGACAGAGCCCCTCATCACTTGCCCCACTGTTAACTGACTTGGGCAGAGCAACAGGCACCCCGCCCACTTCAGGATCACCCCTGGCAGAGGCGGGGAGCCCCAACTCTCAACTATAGCTGAGTTGCATGGCCCTCGTGGACATTTTCTTTATGGTGGGCTTCAGTGAGCACCTGTTCCATTTCTTGTCTGTGACATTTACTCACTGTGGTCAGTACTGGTGTTTTCCCCAACACTGCTGGTTTCCTGGAGCTAGTTTGTAGAGGACCCCTTGATTGTGGGGGTACAGATAACCATCTCTAAATGGTTATCACTCCTCCAGCATCAAGGAAATGGGACAAATGCTCCAGATAATTTCTAGGAACAGCAGCCTTTAATGGCAGGTCCGAGTATTCCAGAAGAATCTGTGGCATCCTGTCAGGCCGTGCCCTCCATATTGCTCAGGGCTGGAAAGAGCTCATCAGGTCTAGAGGGGGCTTTAGCATTGAAATGAGCCTTTGGGATCTGAGTCTTTGAGCTAGTTCCACTGACTCCTCTGGTGTTGGTAGGAGGGAGGGTATGAACCATCCAGGTCTGGTTTCCCTGGAAACCTAGAGAGAGGATAGAGTTGGAGAAAGGGTACCAGCCAGACCAATGGGGCATGGACAAGGGGTATGCGGGTGGTCATTGAGGCAGAACCTGCAGGCAGGGGTAGAGGGACTGGCAGAGCCTTAGAGGCAGTGATGGACCTGCACCCTCTTGGAGATCGACTGAGAGGAACCAATTTGCTGGCACTGAGTGTGCCTCCAGCATGTTCCTGTTGCCTGAGAGTGTTGCCACTTTGAGCTCCATCTCTAGGGAACAGTGTCCCAGAGATGCTTTTTTTAATGAGTATTTATTTTTTAATGAGTATTTATTTTTAATTTTATCTTCCCCTTATACTTTATTATAAATACTGTGGTTTACAAAGCTGTTCGTGATGATTTGTCAGAGACATTCAATATGCCAACACCAGTTCCACCACCATTGTACCTTCCTGCCACCATTATCTCCGATTTTCCCAACCATGGGGGCTTGTTTTCATGATTGGGGGCTGCGCATGTGCTCAGTGGGGCTCACAAACTTTAATTCTGGTGTTCATACAGACATTGGGGGGCAGTGGCTACCAGGGTCTGTGCATGTGGTGCAGGGTTCACACACATGATTGTGGTGCTCACACACACTTACTTGTGGTGGCAAGGATGCCAGACTGCTGCCAGGATCACGTTTGCAATGGGGGTTTGGGCGGGTGCTGAGGGTCCAACTCTCAGCCTTGTCCCCACCACCGACCTTCCCCCACTCCACTCCATGCCTCGAAGCTGCCTGCTACCCCACTGCTCCTTCTAACGCTCACCCAAAAACAGCTGGACTGACTGTGCTATTTTGATGAGTGGCATTTCACGTGGGAATGTCACCAAAAAAAGGGAATTGGGAGGTCCTTAGCTGCATCACTTATAGCATCTGAGACCGGCTTAGTGCTGGTGTTACACACCGAGTATCTCTTCACCCTGACTTCTTTTTTTTTTCTTTTCTTTTGGGTCACACCCGGCACTGCACAGGGGTTACTCCTGACTCATGCACTCAGGAATTACTCCTGGCGGTGCTCGGTGGATCATTTTGGGGATGCTGGGAATCGAACCCGAGTCGGCTGTGTGCAAGGCAAACGCCCTACCCAGTGTGGCATCGCTCCAGCCCCATCCTGACTTCTGATGCGAAATTAAATTCTTCCTCTTCTTGCTGTGATGGTCTTTCTTGGGGTTTCTCCTCTCTCTAACCTTCTATTCTAATGCCTCTAAGAATGTTCTAGCAGACTCTGTTGGAGCGGGCAGGGGAATTCACCACTCCCCTCTGGGTTGCCCCAAATGAAACAGCCTGGTGTGGGGTCTGGAGGCATGTCTATGGCATCTCGTTGTGTGCTCTCTTCCGAGAGATTTATTGTTGAGCCAGTCCCAGCAGCCGAAAACCTCCAGAACTCAACAGCCGCCATGCTCATGGCTGCTCTCCACATATTTGGACGAGCCTCATCCATAAGTGAATCTATTCCTGGATATCTCATACTTTATACCACTAATATACCAAGAGTATCACACCACATTTCATGGGGTATAAAGTAGAAGGTAACCAATCTTAGGGGGAAATATATTTATACAGATTATAGACATAAGCACACAAGGCTCAACCTTTAACAACATGTTACTAATCTCTGATAGAAGGGCCTAATGACTACTGGGTGAAATACAACAATCTTCACACACTTTCCTCTAAGAAACTTTTTTTTGGATCATTTTTAGCAGATTATCCCTGATAAGCAATACAAAATAAATTATTTCGGTTCTGCTTTGGGGACAGGGTTTGGCGTTCCGGATGGAAACATCCGAAATATAGTGGTGGGAAGGTGGAATGGTGGTGGGATTGGTGTTCGACCATTAAATGTAATCAAATATTGTGAACAACTTTATAAAAACAAAATAAAATCAGAAAAGAAAAAGAATGTTCTAGCAGAGCCACCCGGAAGTACTGCAATGGGATGTCTGAAATAATCAGTGTTTCGACCCACCTATAGCCACGCTGCTGTGACAGCACAGCTCCTGGTGTTGTATGTTCGGATTGGGAGCTGCTTCACCCTCTGGGTACCAAGTACTCATCCCAAGGTAGCATGAGCAGAATCTCCCACTCACTGAGCAGATCTGTCCTTTTCTTTTCTCAGGACCACCTGGTGCCACCGGAAGTCCAGGGCAAAAGGGAGACCCTGGCGAACTGGGGTTGACCGGAAACGAGGGCCCAGCAGGGCAGAAGGGTGAAAAGGGGGACATGGGGGATGTGTCCAACGACCTGCTCCCCACAGGTAAGAGGTTGCCAGGGTTCCTCGGGGCACACAGGTGCAGACACCGCCCAGCATTAGGGAGGCCTGTTCAAGGGCTCCTTCTCACATGCTGTATGAGGCTGTCTGTTTCGCCACGTGTTTTCACAGTTCTGTACTATCTTAGTAAACTTTGCGGTGGAGGTGAGGCCAAATCGGGGGTATAGGGGCCGGAGCGATAGTACAGTGGGTAGGGCGTTTGCCTTGCATGCAGCCAACCCAGGTTCAATCCCTGGCATCCTATATGGTCCCTCGAGCACTGCCAGGAGTAATTCCTGAGTGCAAAGCCAGGAGTAACCCCTGAGCTTCACTGGGTGTGACCCAAAAAGAAAAAAAAATCGGGGGTATAAACCCTAGCAGCCCAAAGAATCTGGAGCCAAACATGGCGGTTGACTGAATTCATGTGAAGTAGCGGCCAGCACTACCCAGAACTAGATGGCTCCTAGTCAGGCGACTGAAGACCAACCAGCTTCCACAAAGTGACTTCACAGTCAAGGTCAAACCCTTTTCAAGCCCTACCTTTGAGTATTTTGATATAGAATGGGGCTAAAAAAAACGTTGTTGGTCACTTTATTTTTCCTTTTATTTGGGGTGGTGGTGGTGAGAGGGGATTGGATAGGGAGTTTTGGCCTCACACATCAGTGCTCTAGGCTTACTCCTGGCTCAGTGCTCAGGAATCACTCACTCCTGGTGGCACTCAAGGAACATGCAGGGTGCTGGGCCCTAAACCAGAGTCGGCCATATGCAAGGCAAGTGCTGTAACTTCCTGTTCTCTCTCTCTCTCTCTCTCTCTCTCTCTCTCTCTCTCTCTCTCTCTCTCTCTCTCTCTCTCTCGTCTTTTCCTGGCATTCAGCCCTGGTAGAGCCCAGAGTTGGCATCTGTTAGGCTCAAAGTAGAGGAGCAGAAAGTCACAGGAAGAGACCACGTGGCGGAGAGGTGACAGCTGAGGGTCTTGCAGGAGGATGAGAAGGGACAAACTCTAAAGCAGCAACCGGAAAATAAGCAAAACCTGGCATCTGCCCACAAGAATCTAGGCTGTAAGATGTTCAGAACCAGAGCCCTGAGTCAGCCACCCCTGCCTCCAGTCCCCAGTGAACAGGGAACATGTACTCAAACACTCCCGAAGCAACAAGGAAAGATTTCAGGTTGCTTCCCCGGCTTTTCTATGCAAACTACACAAGATCTCGGAAGAGTTTGCACAGGGGCGGTAGCAGTGAATGTGCTTTGCCAGTCCATGATCCGGCTACACTGTGTGTGTGTCTGGGATCCATCCATCCTGGAGGCCCTGCTGTCAGAGGAAGTAGAAGGTGTGGAAGGGCTGGCCTGTGTTTGCTCTGTCCTTACCATGTGGTCTGTGACCGGGCTGGCCTGTTCGAGATGGACAGAAGTGGCTTGTTTGTTCAGGTCGAGAGACCATAGCGCACCAGTCTCAGTGCAGGACAAAGGAGGGACAGCCCACTCCCGGGGCCCGTGCTGTGACCATCCCAGAAGCAAGTCCCTCCCCAAGGCTACACAGTCAACCAAGGCCAGAGACCAGCAGCCCAAAGTGGGAGGGGGCATCCTGCTGTTGTCCCAGCACTTAAGTTGGTGACTGCAGTGGGCCCTCCCAGCATGACCTGGTCAATGAGCCTCGCCTTGGGCAGGAAGAGCAGGCCCAGCCCCATTCCTTTCCCTACTCGAGGTTCCAGCGCTGGCCCAGAGCCCCTATCTCTCCTCCGGAGCGTCTCCTGCCTGGCTGCAGAGTAGACGGATTTCAGAGCTCCTCCTCCGGCCATCTGCCTCCCTGCCCTAAGGATCGACTTGGTCTGGTCTGAGACCAGGCACTCAGAGTGGGTCAGAGACCCCGAGGGGAGTCCAGTGGGAGTTGTCATGGAGACCCCCCTGACATCAGCCAGGAAAACGGGATGTCTCTGGCAGAGGTGGGCCGAGGCTGAGTTCAGCCCGCTTCCAGCTGGGACCCTGGCGGAGCCCTGAACTTCCCGAGGATTCAGGAACCCCAGCCCACCCCAAGGTGTATGGGAAGGGGGCGCATCACGCTCTCAGCCCATGGCACCTGCGCTGTGCATGGGCCTGTAGCTCCCACAGGGCTGCACAGACAGCCTGGGGCTGGGCAGGGGGCAGGCCCTCCTTGCATGATGAGTCTGGCCCTTTAAACGCTTTCTCGTCTGTCTGTCTCTCCAGGTATCAAAGGTGACCCAGGCCCACCTGGCCCACCTGGACCCCCAGGGCCTCCAGGGCCCCCCGGCCCCCCTGGAAACAGAAGATCCAAAGGCCCTCGGCCACCCAACATATTCAATGGCCAGTGCTCAGGTCTCTGCCTTCCGGGAACCTCCCCTCCCCCTTTGTGCTCATGAGTGACCCCAACTCTTCTGCTCCACCTAGGCCTCTGAGGGAGAGCCTGGGCACAGCAGTCACAGCTCACTCCCCAGAGGCAAGCGCGGGGCCTGGAGCAAAGGAAGGCCCCCCACCCCTCCCACCTCCGCCATCACCCAGATACCTCTGCTTCCCAGCCCAGCCTGGATGCTCACTGAGGGGACACAGGGGCTGGAGAGAAGCCCTCCCACACCTGCAGTAGACACTGCACCCTTGCAGTGTGCTGGGCATGGCCCGCGCCGAGCCTGGGTCTCCCGACAATCCTTGGGAACCCTTCAGGTCACCCCTTGGCAGGTCTGAGTTGAGCTTCCAACACCTTCCCTTTAGCGGTGGGAATTCACCACCTCTGAGAGCCCACTCATGAGGGCAGAGAATGCCCACACTCTGGCAGCCCCCGGGGGCTCGATCCAGCCAGATTGCTCCAAGTCGGGGGAAGTGGGGACCCTACGGGAAACGGAGAGCCCTATTGAGAGGAAACAGCCCCCCAAGGAGTCCCACCAGGGAGCACTCCTTAGCAGAGTCAGAAATGCATCACTTGGTGAAGCCCAGCCCCCAGACCCCCCACAAATAAACACCCACCCAGTCTTGGTGTGCCTGTGTTAAGGGCTGCAGGGATCTGAGGGCTGGAATCCCAGTGTGTGTGTGTGTGTGTGTGTGTGTGTGTGTGTGTGTGTGTGTGCGCGCGCGCGCACGGGGGGGAGGGGAGGGGGGCCAGATCATGGTCCCCCAACATGCTGAGTGCCCAAGGGTTCTGCTGTTCCAGGGGAGACATGTGCTGTTCCCAATGATGACACCTTGGCTGGGAAAGCAGATGAGAAGGCCCACGAGCACCGCTCCCCGAGCGCAGGTAGAGAAGGGGAGCGACCCACCGGGAAATGTGAATTCGGGACACCCCCCCACACTTGCCCCGTCCCTCAAGTCTTCTCCAGCTCCAGAGAGTAGCTTTGCTTTCTCATCCTCGGCTAGAATCCACCATTGCTTCCATCGGAAGCCCGACACAGGTGCTGAAGGTGTCGGAGACATTCGGGACTTGGATTCGAGAGTCCGCGAACAAGAGTGACGAGCGCATCTGGGTGACGGAGCATTTCTCAGGTACGTGCACCTGGCCCTGCAGTTCAGGTTACAGAGAGACACCCCCCACACACACACACACACACACATACATGTTCCCAGTGTTCTTCCAGTTTTTTTTTCTTTTTGGGTCACAGCCAGTGATGCGCAGGGGTTCCTCCTGGCTCTGCACTCAGGAATTACCCCTGGCGGTGCTTGGGGGACCATATGGGATGCTGGGGATCTAACCCAGGTCGGCCACATGCAAGGCAAATGCCCTACCCACCGTGCTATCGCTCCAGCCCCTAATCTTCCAGCTTTAGACAAAGCATGGAGCAGAAAATGAAGCCCACCAACCTCCCACACCACATCAAGCAACGAAGGAGAAATCTTTGCTTTCTTTTGCACCTGGAGCCCAGGGCTGGGGCTGAGCCACCTTGCATGCTCACCGTCCTCATGTGGCCCCTCTCACAGCGCCCCCATGGGGTGTGATCAGGAATGGCTGGTAGGCACCTCAGTCTCCCAGAGGATTGGCCTATCCCCACCTGGGCAGAGCAAAAGCCGAGGAGAGGCCGTGATGGAACCATCCCCGGATGTCCGCAGTCCCTCGAAGAAGGCCAGTGTCCACCTGATAGTTGGCGTCATAGGCTCTAGACTGGGGTACGGAGTGGGGAGACTGATTCCTAGGGAGGAGCAGAGGCGACTCTGGGGCGACTGACGTGGAAAGATGGTTCAGGAATCCACAGAAGAAAACAAGACCGAGTGTGGGCAACCTGAGCCTCATCAAGCCAGACCAAAAGGACTGGAGCACGCGGGGTAAGGCGCTTATGGGGGCTCAGTCCCCGCCACCACCTTCTCAGGAGCGATCCCGGGGCACTAAGCCAGGGGTAAGCCCCCAGCACTTCCGGGTGAGGCACAGCACACCCCCCCCCCCACCCGAGGAGAACAAAACCCCCACACCAGTCCTAAGGATCCTTCTAGAACTCCCTCTCGCTCTTGTCCCTGCTCCTTGGTCCTCCTTCCCAGGGGCACTGCCCAGCCCGACCCAGGCCTTCCCCCCCGCAGGCATCAGGGTGAAGGAGTTCCAGGACCAGCCGGCGCTGCTCAATGGGAGCTTCACGCTCATCCACCTGCCCTACTACTTCCACGGCTGCGGTCATGCCGTCCACAACAGCTCGCTCTACTACCACAAAGGCGGCTCCAGCACCATCGTCAGGTGGGCGCGGGACGTGGGTGTGCCTCAGGGGGGGACCCCGCGAGGTCCATGCAGGGTTCAGAGAGTAAGCACACCCCCGGGAGGAGAGGTGGGGCATTGGGGTGCCCACCTCGCAGTCTCTGCCTGCCCGGACTCCCGGGGGTGCATGGAGGGCTGTGGCACCCCAAGACCCTGTGTCAGGAGGTGATCGTCCTCTCCTGGGGTGCAGCAGTGAAACGTTTCATGACTCAGCCACAGCACTGAGACCGAGGCATCCAAATGCCATCAGAAGTCTCACCTCCCAGGAGTGGGCCCTGTCACCTGGTGGGCCCCAGCAGGCCACCTGTCCTGTCCACTTTCCTGGCTCCCCCCACTCCCATGAGAGCTACTGGAGTCTCATCTTTGAGGTTGAAGTCTGGGGCTCTAGAGGTAGGAGTAGGGCATCCTGCAGAAATGCGGGGACTGTGACCTCAAGTCCAGTTCTACCCCCTACTCCCACCGTCCACCCCAATCCCAAGCACAGTTCCAGAGGCATAGAAGCTGGTTGGGTCATCTCTGAATGCCACAGACAGGGCTCTCGGGAAGCACCGGGCTCATACCCTCCCCTACCTCTCAGGGGGAACAGTGCTGCCCACCCTGATGGGAAAGTGGAGCAGTGTGGCTGGGAGGGTTCCTCCTCTGAGCCCCACCCCGTCCCGCGGGACCCCTCCTCTCTCAGGGTCTCCCCACCTGGGCAGTCCTGTGCCCCCATGAGGACACTGGCCCTCACCTGCTCGCCCTCAGAGCTCACAGCGGCCTGCCAGGTTCCTTCCCGTGATGACCCCGCCCCCGATCCCAGAGCCGTGGGCTGTGCTCCCCTGGGCCAGTGGGGAGTAAAGGCAGTGGGAGATGAGGGCACCCCAGGAAGAGATCATGTCGTGTAATGAAGCTGAGCTGGTGCCCTGAATCCATCCAGAGACCTCCATGCCAGGCTAGGTCACAGGCAGAGGGAGCCAGCAGGAAACAAGAGGCCAGCAGGGGTGCAGCGGCAGGCAGCCCCGAGTTCCAGCACTCGGGGAGCAGGGGCTCCTGCTCCCCGCAGGCTCTCCCCCACCTCAGCCTGACATCTCCAGTATTTCTCTTCTCCAGCTCCTGGCCAGCGCCTGATCCACTTAAGCGTCTGGGGTTGTCTGCTGCCCACGAGCGCCCCCTGGTGCTCATTTCCTTCATCTGCCTGCCCCTGGGCGTTCCTTCCCGACAGCCAACGCCTTCTGAATCCCAATCCACTTTCCAAGAGGGTCTAGATGTGAACTCGGCCCCCTCAGACAGGATGATCACTTGCAGCCTCCCTCCCACAGCCCCCAGTAGTTCTAGAATGTGAGGTGATCATCCAGGTCCTGGAGGGTTTGTGAGCCCAGGCTGAGGGCATGTGGGCTTTGTGAATTGGTGCCGACTCTGGGCAGGTGCCGCCACCACACTGCCACACAGTGAGCTTGTCACTGCCCCACACACCTGCTGCTCGAAGCATTGTGAGCAGAAAAGGCCCAGGAAACGATGAGAAATGCAGAGCCCCAGGCCCACCCCAGTTTCATAGGGGACTGAAGTAATTGTTCTTGTGCACACTAAGGTGACTCTATGTCTTTTTTTCTCTCCCTCCCTTCATTCCGTCTTTCTTTTCTTTTTTCTCTTCTCTCCTCCTCCTCCTGCTGCTTCTTTTTCTTCTATTTTTTCTCCTCCTGCCCTTCTTCCCCTTTCTCCTCCTCCTCCTCCTCCTCCTCCCCCTCCTCCTCCTCCTCCTCCTCCTCCTCCTTCTCCTCCTCCTCCTCCTCCTCCCATTTCAGATTTGAATTTGATAAAAAAACATCCCAAATGCTGAAGATTGAAAACGCCTTCTATTTTGATCGGAAATACCTCTTTGCCAATTCCAAGACTTACTTCAATTTGGCCGTGGATGAGAAGGGCCTTTGGATTATTTACGCATCCAGCGTGGATGGCTCAAGCATCCTTGTGGCCCAGCTGGACGAGAGGACATTCTCTGTGGTACAGCATATCAACACCACCTACCCCAAGTCCAAGGCCGGCAATGCCTTCATTGCCCGGGGGATCCTCTATGTCACAGACACCAAGGACATGAGGATAACGTTTGCCTTTGATTTGTTAGGAGGGAAGCAGATCAATGCCAACTTTGATTTCAGAACTTCCCCATCTGTCCTGGCCATGTTGTCATACAACATGAGAGATCAGCATTTGTATTCTTGGGAAGATGGCCACTTAATGCTTTATCCCGTGCGGTTTCTGTCCCCTACGCTAAACCAGTGATGAGCTGTATATTGTTCCCCTCGGTACATTTCTGAGTTTCTCTGGGAACATTCACATCCCACCATAAAAGTTGGTTTTAAGGGAAGTGAGGGGGTCCAGGGGAGCGGGCACGGAGTAGGGAGGGCATTTGCCTTGCATGTGGCTGACCCAAGTTAATCCCTGGCATCCCATCACTTCCCTGAGTGATCCCTGAGCGCAGAGCTAGCAGTAAACCCTGAGCTGTGACCCAAGCCTTCCCCCACCCCCGCCCGACCCCTGCCAAAAAAAAGGGACTGAGCTGTGATAACCTCACAACACAGTCATATGGTTCCTGGGCAGATTCTACAGGGGAAAAGAATAGATGAGAGTCAAAATGACTACATACTGATCACTCCTTCAAAATTCGTTGAGCAAATCACCTCCCCTCCCCTCCTCCCTACACACACCCCAGTTCCTAGGAAAGGGCTGACTGAGATGGTGGTGAAATTCCCTCTACCTGCAGGGAATTCCGTACTTCTTGGCTGGTGCTGCTTTTGCCAGTTTTATATATTAGAGTGTGTGTGTGTGTGTGTGTGTGTGAGAGAGAGAGAGAGAGAGAGAGAGAGAGAGAGAGAGACAGAGAGACAGAGAGACAGAGAGAGAGAGAGAGAGTCCTGTGCTGAGCAAATTGGCCTCAGAGTTGATACACCCCAATCCTTTGAGGTTGTATTCTTTAGTGCTGAGTCTTATCTGGAGCCAGGAAAAGCTAAACTGACCCTGAAGGCAGTGCCTACCCCACCAGGTACCACCTTTCTCTTGGCTGCACCTGCCTCTTGGCCTCCATGGCTGCACCAGATTAGCAGCAGCCTGGCAGGGCAACAGCCAGGCAGAGCCACCAACTCAGATGTTCTGGTTGCCGCCCCTTTTCCCACCATGCTGATTGGCAGCTGCGGCTCCTACAGACCCTTGATATTTGCCCTGTTCCACTAGCCCAGGCCTAGATCTGCACTCAGCACTAAAGACGGTGTGAGCCCATGGGATCTGCTGGCAAGAAGATGGGTGGCTTCCTATAATCTGCAACAGAAACACGCACTTGGCCAACCCCCGACCTAGCCCTGGGCTTCTTCAGCTTTGAAGTCAGGCCCCCTGGGTGAGCACTTGCCAGAATCTCCCAGATCCCCTAGGCAGTTAATCTTGAGTTATATTTGGTCATTGCACATTCAGAAAGCTTTTTACTGTTGCCAGAATTTTTTTTTTTAGGACACCTAGGTTCCATTATGTGAACCTACACCACAACCCACAGTTGAAGGAAAGCTAAGAGCTATCGTGCAAAGGGAGCTGATTCTTCAAATGACTGTCTCAGCCCAGCCTATTTGCTAGGCTTTGTTTTGTTTGGGACAAAGAAAGGGTCATTTCTCTCTCTTTTTTTTCTTTTTGGGTCATACCCGGCAATGCACAGGGGTTACTCCTCGCTCTGCACGCAGGAATTACTCCTTGGCGGTTCTCAGGGGACCATATATATGGGATGCTGGGAATCGAACCCGGGTCAACCGCCTGCAAGGCAAATGCCCTACCCGCTCTGCTATCATTCCAGCCCCAAGAAGGGATCATTTCTATGGCTTGTGTTTGGGTAGAGAGAGTTTGGGTGAGGCTCCACTGAAAGCAAGCGAGAGCCCTTCGGGCTTCAAGGCAGTGGGGCAGTAAACTGGATTTTTGCTTTCTACATTTTTAGCTGGCGTGGCCAGCTTCCCTTTGCTGCCCGGAGAAAATCCGTTTGAACTTGCTCCGAAATTGCCCTGGAATCACAGACTTTTGTTACCAACAAGGTCCAGGCAGGGTCTGAGAGAGGTGGGAAATGGAAGGGCCTCAGGCTCGGTGTTGGGAAGGACAGAGGGAAAATCTTAGGGAAGAATTTGTTAACTGGTTGGCTTGGCTGATGTGCAGGATGGGAAGAGCTGCTAAAACTTTTTCACTGGGTCCAGATCCCTTCTCTCTAGCCCTGATTCCTGGCTTGGTTAGCGGAAGCATTTTAAAACTTAGAGGATGTAGGATGGAAAAAATAGGACAGAGATTAAGGTACTTCCCTTGCGCGCCATTGAACCCAGTTCAATCTCCAGTCCACACTCCCAGCACAGCCAGGAGTTATCCCTGAGCACAGAGCAAGGAGTAAGCCCAGAGTATCATAGGACATGGCCCCCAAACCAAATTCCAACCAAAACTTTTTTTAATATGGAGACACTTTCACGATTTTTTTTTTAGCGAGGTCATTTTTGGTTTGGGGGTCACACCTGGCAGTGCTCATGGCTTACTCTTGGTTCTGCACTCAGGGATCACTCCTGGTGTTGCCGGAGATCGAGAACCTGGTCAGCCACGTGCAAAGCAAGAGCTCTAACCACTGTAGAGGTATCTACAGCTCAGCACACTTAAGTACTTTTGTTCAAATACTTTTACTTAAATACTTTTAAATCTTACTTAGATGTAAGATTTAAGTATTCACATTTCCCCACCCCTTGAAATATTTAGGCAGCTGATAGGAAATTATCTGTTGTTTTCTCAAAACACTGGTTTGATTGTGTCATGTCCTCTACAGCTTTTTTTTTTAATGCCCTTTTCGTATTCATGTTGTGTAACTAAGTAAAATAGAGTTTAAGTAAAATAGAGTTTTATGTGCAACATCAGCAAGTCAGATGAGTGCTAGTCTTTTAAAAACTATTTAGGTCTATGAGTCACTGTTTCTAGAAACAGGATATAATTACGTGGTAGTAATATTAGTGATAGTGATAGCAAATATATATAATCCTAATTGTATATATGGCAACAATCAAAAGAAGATAATTATTAAATTAGTACTTATCCCCATTGGAAAAAGATGAAAGGTTTTAGAGCCCCCAGTCTTGAAACCTGACCTATCTTGAAGCTGGTAGGAATCATAGACACATAGATCTTATTTCCCCTGTAGGAGAGTATATAAGGACAACTGAGTATAACCAGTTGTCAAGGTTTAATAAGCAATTCTTTATGTGTTAAAAGTTTGTCTTTATAGAGTGAAAAAAATTAAGATTGTATTCTTTCCTGCAAAAATCCCTTGATTAAAAGGAAAACGCATTTGGACAGTTATAGATATTCCAATACAGAAAGTGTGTCCTGATGTTTCCAAATAAAGATAGTCATTTTAACAGCTTACAGGATCACTTCAAACCAAAGTTGCTTGCGAAACACTTTTCTAATATCTGTGCTTCTGATGTCAGAATCAAACCTAATAGTTCTTTCATCTAAAGTAGATAGATGTCCCCAGGAAAGTAAACAAGATGTCCCTCCCGGCCTTCAACCTAGACCAGACCGTATTTCAAAGCCTTTGCCTCCCCCTCCCCCGACTGATAATGTGTCCTTTTGAAGGCTTCCAGGTGCTCATGGATCAATGGTGCACAGAACCCAGGTGTTGTATGTGTGTGTGTGGGGGGGGGGGGGCAGGCAGATGGGGGAGAGGCATCCTTGGATGTAGATTTTAAAGTGAGGCATTCCTTCAAGGCTGCAGCATGAAAAGTCAAATTCTCCAAGAGCCAGGGGTCATTTTCCAGTGACCAAGATTGGATGGGACTGGCACCCCTTGAGTTCATAGCAACTGAAGTATGTGATAAGGCCTTGCTGTACTTACACACACACACACACACACACACACATACACACACACCTGGCATATCTGTCATTCGTTAGAAGCCATTTCTGGGCCTGTAACTGCAGATTCCAAACCATTCTAAATAATAAGCGAATAAATACTATGTCTCTTTTTCGGTTGTAATTTATTTAATTCAAGTTAGTCAATAAAATAATCATTGCTGATAACAATCATGTATTGAAAAAGACTGTTGTTAATTTTCCCTCTTGTGAATTTTCATGTCATATTAAAAGGAAAAAGAAAAACCCAACCCAAGTTCATTTGACACCAGTATTACAGTGGTTGCTCCACTCTAAAAATACTGGAAATTTTCTAGGTCCCTCTGAAGACTTAAAAATCATTTCTGAGGACAATATTTCTGCTTCAGAGCCCGGAGCCAAGGGAAGATGCTGTTTCCTAAGACTGCCGCTGAACTAAGCCACTACCAGAAGACGGACATGGTCCTCATAGTTGGAATGTTAGAATAATAATTACCTTTTAGAACTTCTTTTCTTTATTTTTTTTAAAGGTTTGTTTTGGGAAAACACTTGTAATGCTCAGGGTATACTCCTGGCTCTGCAATTAGGAATTATTCCTGGTGATGCAAGGGAGACCAAATGGGGTGCCAGAGATTAAACCTGCATCAATGGCATGGAAGGCAAAAGCTACCTGCTGTGCTGTCACTCCGGCCTGAGTACTTCTTTCAAAGCTCATTACAATGAGACAAGATGAAAAAGAGGTTTTTAAGAGGAATATGCGAAACCCAGCACCATCAGGCAGACAACAAGGAAGTTGCTGTCACAACCATAGGCTAACACCGCCTGCTGTCAAGTAAATCCACTGCAAATGTGCAACACCACTTGTTATTCTAAATTTTGCTGCCACCGTGGACATCCTTGAGTCACGGAGACAACTGAATAGCTCCTACCTGGTATTGCCTGGTATGTGGAAGGCACTTCTGGGTATTTTGCACACAGCATTTGACTTCACCACAGATGCTCAAGTAGCAAAGTCTTGACACATCATCTCAACTCAATGTCTTAATTCTCTGTACAGATGTGGTGGAGACACAATGCAATCACAGCATGGACCCCACCTCAGGGAAGGGATTGGATGAGGCTGGGTTTGGCATATTCCTTGGCCCAAGCACTGAGTGAATGTGCCATCAGCCCCTCAGAAACTGCCACTACAGGGGGTAGAGCAATAATATAGCAGGTAAGAAGCTTGTCTTGTATGCAGCTGACCCGGGTTCCACCCCTGGCACCACATATGGCCCTGGAGCCCCATCAGGAGTGATCCCTGAGCTCCTCCAGGTATGGTCCAAAGAGACAAAAGAGAAAAGAACCCACATCCATTGCAGGATCCGTTTTCCCATTCCCCCAGGAGCCACTCTGTTACCCAATGGCCAGTGTGAGAGTGAAAG